CCTCAGAGGGAGCGTTAATAGTTACAATTACCCCTCGGACATCCCCCACCCGAAATTACCACCTCCGAGCAATTACCCCTCATCCGGTTATGGATAAGCTAGGACTAGGGTTAAGTTAGGATTAGGGCTAGTTTTAGGGTTAAATGTAGGTATAGAGTTGGAGTTAGGGTTTTTTGTTAGGGTTAGATTTAGGCTTGGAGTTTGGGGTTAAGATCAGGGTTCTTCAGCATCGGGGGATAGGGGGGGGGGGGGGGTTGACGGGCTGGTAATGTCCTAGATCCGAATCTGACACATATCATTATCATCAATAGATCTAGTCTTGCCCAAAACATGAACAAGGAAGAAAAACGAAGTAGGTTATACACAAGGTGCAACAGAAAAGATTGAGAGAGAACAGAGCGGACAATATGTGTGATATCTGCCATGTTCGTGTATGTTACATAACATCACGTAACTGCTTCCAAAAGCTCCATTCATAGATGACTATACACTCATAAAGGACATAAATGTGTTCAAATTACTGATATTTTCAATTTCTAATGTACCAGAACAACAAACAAACGTTTGATCACTTTTAGAATAAACATATTAACATGACTCTCAACGCAACCTGTTTTCAATAATTTTACCTTGACGCCCATAGGGACACACATGCCCCATGCTGTGTCTCAAAAACTGTTTAAGGTATCGGAAAACATTATTAACATTTTTTAAATTCACGTGTTATTTTACTACTAATTGTGTGCATAGATAATTTAAACTATGCGTGCAATCCTTGTGGTCCTGAAAGGGTTTAAAAGTTACCTGATTTTTGCGTCCAAATAATAAAGACAATGATGGTAAAAAGTTACCTGATATTTGCGTCCAAATAATAAAGACAATGATGGTAAAAAGTTACTTGATATTTGCGTCCAAATCATAAAGACAATGATGGTAAAAAGTTACCTGATATTTGTGTCCAAATGATTAGGACCATCACCATGGGGAGAAGGTAGCTGAACACACCTGAAAAATATAATTTTAAACGTCTCCGTATTTCAATGCGTAGCCTGCAATTGGCCCCACGAATTATCCATATCGTTATATCCTGAGAATTTCTACGTGCCTAGGGAAGGTTTACTGAGTGGTGATATATGTATGCTGTTATGTGTATACTGTTATATGCATGCTGTTATGTGCATGTTGTTATATGCATGCCGTTGATAACGACACTCCTGTGTAGCGTATACAACAGTTAAATTAACTAACATTAACTGTTAATATATATATATATATATATATATATATATATATATATATATATATATATATATATATATATACACGATTTCACATATTTAGACAGCATTGTCAATTACGTCAATTACTGACAATAAAACACGCATAACTAAATGCAAGCGTTGCATTTCGATGTTTTAATTGCTAAAAAAAAAAACAAATTTTAAAAATTCTGAATACATTTGGAAATTTCTGGAATTCACCTCCTTTTTATATCTGTCTAAGTTTAGCACAAAGTACAAACAATAAGACTTTATTTTTAATGCAAGCTTTTATTTAACTAGCTTACTCTGTCTGTATGGATCAAAGCGGGCGAGCCCCAGGGGACGGTTATTCGCAAAGCTACCCACTTACTTATCATTTGGATCCGCCTATGTGTATCAAGCTTTCATTAAAAGGACATCAATGGTGGTACGACACGTATCATTTATCGATTGGCAAGACCTTTGTAATACCTGCTCATTTCGAAATGTTCTCGCTGTGGAATTTTAATTAATTATTCAGTAGTTTAATTTAATTTGTGGAATGTAGAATGATCTATTCAATTTTATATCCTTTATTATTTATTTCACAGAAGATTTATTAACTGTTATTTGCAAATGACGAAGTTGACGGCCATAATGGCCAGGTTGACTAGTGACATATTAGACGGCCGTCATTGCTTGTTTTAACATTGACATAGTAGACGCAGGGGCGTAGCGAGGGAAGTGGGCGGGGGGTGCGGACTGCACCGGGTGACACCTTTTAGGTGGGTGACACCAAGGCATAAACTAGCAAAATATATAGAGAAAAACTTGAGGGGGGGGGGTGCAAATCGAAAGTTTGAGGGGGGTGCAAATCGAAAACTTGAAAGTTTGTCCCCGGGAAGGGTCGCTACGCCTCTGGGGGGTGACACCACTTAGTGCCGCAACCGGTGACACCCGACCTCGCTACGCCACTGAGTAGACGGCTTATATTTCTAGTTTAAGAAGTGCCAAAATGGACGGTCTTTACATCTAGGTTCCCTGTAGAGTTAGTGGACGGCCGTTTTAGTTATTCTAACAGGTGACCAAGTGGCCGGCCGTTATAGCTATTCTAACAAGTGATGAAATGGACGGCCGTTATAGCTATTCTAACAAGTGATGAAATGGACGGCCGTTATAGCTATTCTAACAAGTGATCAAGTGGCCGGCCGTTATAGCTATTCTAACAAGTGACCAAGTGGCCGGCCGTTATAGCTATTCTAACAAGTGATGAAAAGGACGGCCGTTATAGCTATTCTAACAAGTGATCAAGTGGCCGGCCGTTATAGCTATTCTAACAAGTGACCAAGTGGCCGGCCGTTATAGCTATTCTAACAAGTGATGAAAAGGACGGCCGTTATAGCTATTCTAACAAGTGACCAAGTGGCCGGCCGTTATAGCTATTCTAACAAGTGATGAAATGGACGGCCGTTATAGGCATTCTAACAAGTGATGAAAAGGACGGCCGTTATAGCTATTCTAACAAGTGACCAAGTGGCCGGCCGTTATAGCTATTCTAACAAGTGATGAAATGGACGGCCGTTATAGTTATTCTAACAAGTGATGAAAAGGATGGCCGTTATAGCTATTCTAACAAGTGACCAAGTGGCCGGCCGTTATAGCTATTCTAACAAGTGATGAAATGGACGGCCGTTATAGGCATTCTAACAAGTGATGAAAAGGACGGCCGTTATAGCTATTCTAACAAGTGATGAAAAGGACGGCCGTTATAGCTATTCTAACAGGTGATGAAAAGGACGGCCGTTATAGCTATTCTAACAGCTGATGAAAAGGACGGCCGTTATAGCTATTCTAACAAGTGATGAAAAGGACGGCCGTTATAGCTATTCTAACAAGTGACCAAGTGGACGGCCGTTTTAGGTATTCTAACAAGTGCCGTAATATATGACTGCTATACCTATGTTATTAAGTGAATAAAGACCAAACCACCTAAGAATTCAGAGAAGTATTAAAAAAGTGATTTTGAGTTTTGTAATAATAAGTGTTGCTTGTAAATCTTTGAAAATTTAATTTGTTTTGTCAGATGCGAAATAACAGTAAAACGTCCATTTATTCTAATAAAACATTATTTATTAAATAATATTTAATAAATTCCAATGCAGTGTTTATATTTCAATATTTCATTTCAGTATTTTTCATACCTTAACTCTGGTTGGCTTATAGCTACATTGCTAATGAGCAAGTAAGCATTAAATATAAACCAGTTTATTGTTATGAAGAATGTTATGTTAAGGTGTTCACTATGAATCAAGTTTGTGATATAAATGAAATAACTTGCACGCATGTGTAATTAAAGCAATAGGATTTACAGTCTTATAGAGACTGAGCTTTACATACATCAAAATAAGTTTCCTGTCTAAACCCTGTTTGATTAAGTACAGACGCATTTTTTTTTTCTGGCAAATACAATAAGCATACCTGATTCAAGTGATTGACTAGCAAATAGAATATTCATACCTGATTCAACTGATTCACGAGCTAATAAAATATTCATACCTGCTTCAACTGATTCACGAGTAAATAAAATATTCATACCTGCTTCAACTGATTCACGAGCAAATAAAATATTCATACCTGATTCAATTGATTCACGAGCAAATAAAATATTCATACCTGATTCAATTGATTAACGAGCAAACACAAACACAGACACATACCGCAATATTGCACATACGCAATCAAACACAAATACAAACGAACACACATCCTCAGCGGGCCTAGGTGCTTTGACCATAGGGGGTTTGACCATAGGGGGTTTGACCATAGGGGGTTTGACCATAGGGGGTTTGACCATAGGGGGTTTGACCATAGGGGGTTTGACCATAGGGGGTTTGACCACAGCGGAGCTTTAACCATAGGGGCTGGCTTTGACCAAAGGGGGTTTGACCACAGCGGGGCTTTGACGATAGCGGTGCTTTATATATATATATATATATATATATATATATATATATATATATATATATATATATATATATATATATATATATATATATATATATATATGTATGTATGTATATACATATATATATGTGTGTGTGCGTATATATATATATATATATATATATATATATATATATATATATATATATATATATATATATATATATATATATATATATATATTTATATATATAATGTATGTTTTACACGTCAATTGTGTGTTTTACAGGCGAATTGTGTTTGTTTTAAAGGGGAATTGTCTATGTTTACAGGTCCATTGTGTATGTTTTACAGGTCCATTGTGTATGTTTGACAGGGGAATACTGTATGTTTTACAGTCGAATTGTGTATGTTTTAAAGGTCCATTGCGTATGTTTTACAGGGGAATTGTGTATGTTTTAAAGGTCCATTGTGTATGTTTTACAGGTCCATTGTGTATGTTTTACAAGGGAATGTGTATGTTTCTCAGGGGAATTGTGTATGATTTACAGGCGAATTGTGTATGTTTCACAGGGGAATTGTGTATGTTTTACAGGCGAATTGTGTATGTTTTACAGGTCCATTCATTTACTACGTGAAAACACGTAGGTAATGGCTGGAGGAGGCGTGGTTTTTATGTTGTTAATGTTAGGTTGGGGAGGGGATGTTTTGCATTTTTGCGGGGAAAATATTCAATAGCTCAAGTGTTCTATAGAATAGCGTAATAGCTATTGCGATTTGCACCAAAAAGCACCACATGAAAACCGTGGGTTAATATGTCTGCGTTCGGTTAAGACAATTTTATACCATCCATGCAGAAAAGACATAATGTAATGTAAAAAAGTAACAAAAGTTAGCGGGCTAATTTTAAGTTACTGTAGACTGCCGTGTATCGTAAAAGGTAACACCCGGATATAAAGTTGGCGATACTCCCGGAACGGTGTTGCAGACGGTAAGCCACTATTTATAAGGAAATGTTTATGTTTTTAATCTGTTTTTATAGAATAATATATTTTAATATAGACTTCTACCGGCCTTATAAGCATAGAACGCATAAAATTATGTAGACCGTTTTTATTTTAAAGTTAATAGCCCATCGAATTTTTTTTCATGCATCTCTTCAGAAGAAGCGGGTGGGGCTAATAGATAAATTAACGGATGCGGGTAATAGACCTAGATAATAATTGCATTAACCGTGTCCTCTTTCAATGCCAGACTTAAAGCAGCAGCAGCGTATGTGGTGGCGTTAACATCAGGGGAATGCTTGCCGTCCAGCCGTACCCCTTCTACCCACCAGCTGTGGGGTACCAGGCTTACCCACCGTCCGTCTACCAGCCACCGCCCCGGTGTAAGTTCAACAGTTCAACTTGACCGGTCAACTCGGGAAACACGAAAGTTGACCGGGCAACTAGTTGACCTAGGGTTCTGTTAATAGCATAACCCACTATGTGGAGGGGGGAATGCTCTACTGTAGTTTTATTAGGCAGTGGGAAGTGAGGGAGGGGGGGGGTATGGCTAATGTACACAACAACATGCGTCTTCTTTTATCAACAGCTCAACGACATACACGATCTGCACTTTTCAACTTAACATACATGATCTACTTTAATCAACAACCCAACAACATACATATGTATTTTTAACAACCCAACAACATACATGATGTATTTTTAACAACCCAACAACCTACATGATATATTTTAACAAACTAACAACCTACACGATGTATTTTTAACAAACAAACAACCTACACGATCTATTTTTAACAACCCAACAACATAATGATCTATTTTTAACAACCCAATAACGTACACGATCTATTTTTAACAACCCAAAAACATAATGATGTATTTTTAACAACCCAACAACCTACACGATCTATTTTTAACAACCAACCCACAATCAACATGATCTACTTTTCTGATCTACTTTTTACCACCACCCTTCTTGTTACAGCGTATCCTTGGAGGTCCGTCTTATGGTTTCTGGCGCTGATTTTCTTCGGCTGGCCAGTGGCGATTCTCACGTGTGGGTTCTACGTCATCCTCAGTCCATTTGGGTCAGTGATTAGAGTAGGCCAACATAGCATTTTGATACAAGTTTACTATGCCAATATGTCATTATGATCAGAGGCGTCGCGAGGGGGAGGTGACACCAAAACAAAAAAAAATGCAAAATAGATAGAAAAAATACTGCCAGTTCAATGAATGATTAATTAGAGTTAAAAAGTATTTTAAGAACAAAGTGACGATTCCCACAAGGGGGTAGGGATTGACTAACTATAGAGAAAACAATGCTACATCAATCTGGATTAATAACATCTGTACTATTAACAGTGAACATTTTAAAGCTATCGCCGGGGGAGGGGGGGGGTGGAGAGTGGCACTTACTGCAGAGTTTACAGAGACAAAAAACGTTTAGTTGAATATTTTCAATAACTGATAGGTCAATCAACGACCGGGGTAGGGGTAACGTCATATCTAAAAATTTACTACAAATTTTACTTTATGTTTTTTTCCACTTGTATTAATAGGTGGATTAAAATGATGTTTAAAAAAATTCAAGCCAAAAAAAAAAAGGTTTACCAGGCTAAAAATATGATACATGTTTACTAGGCCAACATTATGATACATGTTTAGTTTGAGCAAACTCAATGTGTGGGCACGAGAAATGTTCGATTCTTTATTATGTAGCTGTTGCTGATAATGATAATTTCTTGGACCGGTCATAAGAAAGAGGGAGGGTGGGGGGGAGTTGGCCAAGGATGATAGTTCCCCCCCCCCCCCAAAAAAAACCGGCAAAAAAGTTCCATTATTAAGTAACCTTTCAGGACCAGGCGGTCAAAATGAAAGATGAAGTAGAGTTCATCAGTTATCTGGCTCTCTTTTGACTTAGGAGGGGAACTTGTGGTTAGACTATGCGCAGCCGCGTTTTTTTAAGGCGTCGTAACCAAAACTGAAGAAAACATTAAACCATAATACAACTTTTATTGGGTTTAATTTTAAATTTTATTTGCGCAGCCATTATTCCGTTTAAAAAAGTAAGATAATGTTTGTTTTTTTTGGTTGTTGAAAAGACAAGCAATATCGTGTTATCCATCTCCTTGTTTTTTTTTAGACCCTGCTGCGCATGTATGCGCATTATCACTGATGCGCTTCTTGTGGGCGTGACGCTTCCTTGCACCTGCAGTGAGAATATGATTCGACAAGCCAAATTTTGTTGAACTTGGTCCAGATGACTTACCATGGAGATATTAAAAAATACAACATCGAAAAACAGCTGGAAAGAAATATAATATGAAAGTATAATATAGACAATTTAAAGAATTAATTCAATGTTTTTTTATTTTTTCATCGGTGACATTTTTCTTTGATTGTGTTGCATGCGGTCTTTGTGAACAGTAACAGGTTTTCCGTCAAAGTGTCGTCCATAACAACGTCATACGC